CAACGAATCCCACACTTGTTCGCGTAATAATTTCCATATTTTCTGACAGGTATATGGTCGTTGTTGGGAATTTAAATGCACACTTGCGTGCGTAAGGAATAAATTAATACTTTGGCTCAAACATGCACGCGTTTCGTTATAAAATACAGAGAAAGTGGCTTCAAAATGGACGATTCCCACTTTTCCATTTACTATAATTATGATGTCATATTTCAATCTATAAATAGTTGGAATCGTCGACGAAAATCGGAATTTTATTCAATCAAATTGATTTCGCTCGAAGTTATCCATATAATCAATTCCTTTGACATAAGTACAATAAGCTAAGAGAGAAAAAAAGCGAGAATTGTTGGACTTAATCGCCTTTTCTACATGAAATATGACTGGGATTCGTGTGGGATTCGTTGTCGTGTCATAAGCTAATTAGTGATGACCAGAATACATATATTTTAACACCTTAATGTACGTTAAATTAAAACACATCATTATAGATCACTGTTCAACGTATAATATTAACTCAGCAAAGCACCGAGCGCAAGACGCAATGTTTCTTTGTTCATCACGCGGAATATGTGTATGGAGCGGAAACATTTGCCATCTTACATTCATAATTTCTGTGTTCACGTGATCAATAGATCCATTGTTGATTAAAATAAGTGGGGCGTCACTCGTTGCAAAGATTGGCGTGTCACTCTCGAAAACAATATATTTGCTCATCTGATTTTTCGGGGCTGGAAAATGAACCGTGTCACCTTCTAAGATCTGCAAAAACTCGCACCACGGTATAAGGGATGGTTTCCCCAACCCTACATTTTAAGCCATTTATACGTGTATGAATTTATACCTATATCACGCGTAACTGAAATTACTTTATTATGAGCCGACCACCAAATAATGGGTAAACACTTGTTCAGGTACTTGGTAAATTTAAACTTTTTAATCAAGGCTGAACATGTAATAAATACTTGATATTTATGATACAATATTCTGCCAGTTGCATACTGTCAGAAACGTTATTCTAAACCAAATTAAAATTTCAGTTATTGAAGCTAGAATTACTTGTATTTTATAGTATTACCAATGGTGTTTACAAATATTATAGATGGCGTGTTTTGGTGAGCGTATACATGGTTAATTTACGCATATATTGTATGTCATTATTCTAGTTTAATCATGATGCGTTTATGCACGTTTCCAGAACTACTCAAACTTTGGGAACTTCGTAGTTTGGAACTTCAAGCAAGACTAGTAGAGCAATCTGGAATTTAGGGCTACTAAACATATTTGGAAGCTAATGCAATTATTTTAAGTTCTTATTATGTAACTTTTGTGGAGAATATAACGTCATCGTCAACATCCGGATTAATCTCAAAGCTGTAGTATTATAAAGCGCACAGTATGCATGCTATAAATAAGAGGTAGTTATATAGAAAGCAAGTAATAATGGCTTATAAAACAACTATTTCAGATACAACGCGAGCTCATGTGCTATTTCTAGGCAAAGAGCAACGATATTCCTGCTGAGCGATTGCTAAAAAAGCAAAAATATCTTAATCGTCAGTCTCTCTTATCTGAGAGGAAAAGTTCAGCGCAAGCAAGATTTGAAAACATGCAAGAAAATTGCTTGACCAAAGACGCTGTCAGATAGAGCTCGGAGAAAATTAATAAGAATAATAAAAATTCTTCGTGATAAAGACCCAAATTTTACTGTTAAGCTCTTGGTTGCGTAAAGCAGGCTGCTGTCACGTCATATTTCCTATAGGACATTTTATCGTGAGGTGAAAGCAGCTGGATTTGATTATTTACCTGCGAGTAAAAAGGGGGTTTTAACAAGCCGTGATCGCACAAAAAGAAAGGCGTTTGCGCAACAATGCAAGAAGATTCTCTCCACAAAGCCCGGATTCTTTTGGCGAAATATTGCCTTCTATTCAGACGGGTTTCTTCTATTTATAAGACACAGCCTCTTAGTGACGCTTTAGCCCCCAGACAGAGTGTATATGGAGACAATTTAAAACTAGAGTTATAAGAACTTTATATAAAATTTATGTAGATTATATAAATAATATTATCACAAGCATGCCTACATGAATGCACGCTGTATTGCAGGCTGACGTCTTTAGAATAAAAAACTGAGAAAGTTACTATGACAACGGAATGAATATCGTATTTCAGTATCAACGAATCCCACACTTGTTCGCGTAATAATTTCCATATTTTCTGACAGGTATATGATCGTTGTTGGGAATTTAGATGCACAGTTGCGTGCTTAAGGAATAAATTAATACTTTGGCTTAAACATGCACGCGTTTCGTTATAAAATACAGAGAAAGTGGTTTCAAAATGGACGATTCCCACTTTTCCATTTACTATAATTATGATGTCATATTTCAATCTATAAATAGTGGGAATCGTCGACGAAAAATCGGAATTTTATTGAATCAAATTGATTTCGCTCGAAGTTATCCATATAATCAATTCCTTTGACATAAGTACAATAAGCTAAGAGAGAAAAAAAGCAAGAATTGTTGGACTTAATCGCCCTTTTCTACATGAAATATGACTGGGATTCGTGTGGGATTCGTTGTCGTGTCATAAGCTAATTAGTGATGACCAGAATACATATATTTTAACACCTTAATGTACGTTAAATTAAAACACATCATTATAGATCACTGTTCAACGTATAATATTAACTCAGCAAAGCACCGAGCGCAAGACGCGGTGTTTCTTTGTTCATCACACGGAATATGTGTATGGAGCGGAAACATTCGCCATCTTATATTCATAATTTCTGTGTTCACGTGATCAATAGATCCATTGTTGATTAAAATAAGTGGGGCGTCACTCGTTGCAAAGATTGGCGTGTCACTCTCGAAAACAATATATTTGCTCATCTGATTTTTCGGGGCTGGAAAATGAACCGTGTCACCTTCTAAGATCTGCAAAAACTCGCACCACGGTATAAGGGATGGTTTCCCCAACCCTACATTTTAAGCCATTTATACGTGTATGAATTTATACCTATATTACGCTTAACTGAAATTACTTTATGATGAGCCGACGACCAAATAATGGGTAAACACTTGTTCAGGTACTTGGTAAATTTAAACTTTTTAATCAAGGCTGAACATGTAATAAATACTTGATATTTATGATACAATATTCTGCCAGTTGCATACAATCAGTGACAAAAGGTTTTTGGACAGTGGTATAATATATACATATCTCCGCATTTCCAAATACTGTTCAGCATAAAGCCACTATCCCCCCCCCCCCCCCCACCCTAAACAATGTTGGGTGGCTGGCAAGGAACATTTTGCGCAGGTATTTCCACACACAACATTGAACGGTGGGTGCGGGGGGTCGATTATGTTGTAAATGTACGCTCTTTTGCTATTTTGTCCACAGTGTTTTGTCACTGATTGTAAGCATATTACTACTCAACTATAATGTATGTCATTTTTGACAATTTCTACAGTAGAAAAATATCAATATTCTTACTGTGATCGCTGTGTCCCTTGATACAAGCAAACATGTTTTGATTTGATTACCACCATTTCCTCAGTTATATACTGAATGTGAAAGTATTTCTCTGAGAATTTCAAGCACCTGCAATCTTGGGAATATAAAGTGTTTTCTTACAACAACAAATAATACGAGTAAAATCATTTGGCGTTTTTTTTGCGTCACCCGGTGTCGAACGAAATCCCCTCCAGGGACCATTTCCTAGGAATTTCGCCACCGATGGGGAAATTGGTAGGAAATTTCCCCCCCCCCCGGGGGCGAATTTCCTAGGATTATCGCCCCCTTTAGGATTATCGCCACCCTTCAGCCTGACAGAAAGTAGTTGCAAATAGAAACCTGCCTTGCAGTTACAAGGGAATCACGAAACATCGAGTTTGGATCCGAGTTCGAGTTGGACTTAGAGTTAATTTTTTTTAATTGTATCGGCATTTGCGACCATTTTCGGTAATTTCCGAGCTGCTCCAACTCCTGCTTTTTCTTCAAACGCAAATTTTAAAACATGCAAATGGCGAACATTCAAAAAGTTTGTAAATATAATATTTTAAATCTTTACTTGCATATTTTCTATTCATATCGATTTTCATTCGCTCTGGCCAATGATCAGACTGCATCATACATTATGTCCTATGCATATTTTAGTAACGTTAAACAATCTGTAGTATTAAACCAAAGAACGGTTTAGGTCAAATCGGAACTATCTTTAGCCTGTAGAAACTATTAAAATACAACTGATCTTATAGCACAATTTTAAGTTGAAATGTTGCAGGGGTGGCACTAGGAATTCTCCAATGGAGGGGATAAGGTGTGTTTGTGGGCAGGCTCCCCCCAAAACCGTGCCTACTATAGGGGGGGATGTGTGACACCCCGCAAAGTGAAATCAGGAAGGGGGCCCAATTGTTCCTGAGAGGCCCGAGAATTTCAAAACGAGGCCCCGAAATGATTATTTCCTGAAAAAAATTTAGAGATTTTGCTCTCGGGAAGAAAATTTTATTGTATTGTCCTGAAAAAAATATTGTTTATGTATTCCGGAAAAAAATTTTTAGCTTTTAAATTTGTGCTTTTGAATTGCGGGAAAATTTTTTTGTTACTTGTATATTTATAGCCCACGACGCCCACGATGGACCGAAGGCCCCGAGTGGCTGTTAAGCAGCACGAGTGATGTTAAAATCCCATATCACACTAGTGACCATTAATTAACCATCTTTCGCATGACAACAATGGAGAACACAACAGATGTTCACAATAAGTCAGGATGTAATGACTGCTATGTGAATTAATTTGCAAATCAAATGATGTCAATAGTATGCATAGTGTGATAACTAGTTTTCACACTAATTATCACTTATCACACTAAAATAGTTGGGTAAGAGATTTAACAGCTCCCTGAAACAATTATTTACAGTCTGATTCATCTTGGAAGAAACAGGCTGTTGTGGCATACACCTAGACATGTATGGTTGATTTTAAGATTTGATATGGTGGAAGTTGTTGGGAAGCGAAGCAAGAAGGTACCGGTTCTGCTTACACCAGATGTTAAAGCTGCAATAATTACTCTGACGAGGACATGTAAAGAGGGGAATGTGAACAACGCCAACCCCTTCGTGTTTGCCTTAAACAACGGGCAGTCAGTCAATCCACTAAGAGGCAATGATGCGCTACGTAAGGTGTCCAGCATGGTTGACCTGCAGCTTCCTGACGCTATCACATCAACCAATCTGCAAAAGTATGTTGCAACTATCTCTCAGTTAGTGGACATGGATAAGAACGAGATGGAGTGGTTGGTCAATCATCTTGGCCACAATGTAAACATACATAAAAATTTCTACAGGATGCAATCAAGCACGCTAGAGATGGCAGTCATTGGCAACCTTTTAATAGCGGTTGACAAAGGAAGAGCCCACAATTTTAGAGGAAAAAACCTGCGGGACATTACCCTTCAACGTATATCATCAAAACGATGAGCATAATAAGTAAATGACATATTTAATGGCACAGGGAGAGAACTGATAATAGCTCTATGACCCTTCGGCTGGGATAAAATCCAGGCCTATATATAATATTTTTATAAATATGTACAGGGTGCATAAAAGTAGATTAATCCAACTTTAGCATCAGTTTACAATTATAGCTTTTGAATGGCACCCATTTTGTACCATTCCAAGGAAAAAATGTGAGCGCTAGCCCGATTAAAAACTGCTAATTTTTCAGATTGTTCCACATTTGTGAATAATGAAAGTAGTGTACATAGGAAAAGAAAAATGCTCCCAAGCACACTGTTAAAAGGTAATTCGGAGTATTGTATTATGTCTTCCTCTCCTGTCAGTTGCATAGGTGCATGCACCGCTATTCCGAAACGACTCCCTACTTGGGAAGGATCAGATTATTGGTTAGTATTTGGATTGTGGTCAAAATGTACAGTCTCGAAATATCAGTTGCATTTTTTATGCCATTCCTTACTTATTTCCATGCCATTCGTATTTCCAATTCTTATTTCCAATTCTTATGGCCATTCTGCCTTTTACATTCACAAAAAAAAACTTTTCAATAATCTTGCTTTGTTATTTTTCTTTGGCTGCAGTGCATGTTGTTTTAAAAAAGTAATAATCATGATTTTGAATTGCCCTCCCGCATATAGTAAACTCAGGATCGCCATAATTGTATGGAATCTGCCCCTGAATGGCACAATTTGAGCAGCTCTTGACTTTGAAACAAACTTCTCAGTTGTCCGATATTTCACTTTTTACAGATTTTGACGATATTGCACCTGAAGATTCTGATTCCGAAGACGACGGGCAGCAAGATAAAGGTAATTATTAATAGTATATAACAAACTGGCTTTCGCTCGAATCCCTATCTACGAAAACCGGATAGGGATCTCAGACTTTAAATTTCTTGAAGATTCTTCATCAATAGCTGCAAAATCATTTTGCTAATTAAGGCGTAAGGTTAAACTGGCTTCAGTGGCGGTGGAACATTTTCAATTTAGGGGGGCGCTAATATCAAAAATGTTTCTAACAAAAGTTTTTCACAGAAATGTCGGCGACGGGTGGGTCTAAAAAAATTTTCCAGACATAATAACATCTTTCATTCATGACATTTTTCTGAAAATTACCGCTTTTCGTTTTGTTTATCCAACTTCTTTCTCAAAATTTGTTCAATTTCCAAGCATAAACTTTGAATCTGATCGGTTTTTGTATCTGCACAGCAGATATACTATGCTATCGAGTTTGCTTTATCTGTTAGCTGTTAGCTTGCAGCCAATCAGTGTCCAATATTTTAACTTGTGACCTTCCGCGGCCAATCAGTGCACCATGCAGAAATGATTATTCAGTGTACAACATATAGATCAGTGACAAAACCGTAGAATCGCAACAGCGTGTTCGCAGGCAAATTCAACATGGCAGTTGCAGTATCGATTAATCATTATTGAACTATAAGTAGTAAACATAGTTACTTTCGATCACTCTTTCGATTTTCGGATCAACATATTATATATGGTTAAACATAGTTATATTAAACATAGTTATATTTTTTTGTTTTAAGGTTAGAGTTAAAGAACAGTAATTCAACAATTTTCAATATACTAGTGGTAGTGCATAATCAGCTCGTAGCTTGAGAGCTGTATATCCAGCAAAATAAAGTAGATTTTTATACATGGGAAAATAAATTTTAAAAATTAATCACTTCTCAAATATGTATGGTTGCGACTAAAAAGACCGAATGTTTGTTTTTTCATACTATTTTACATTTGTTTTCTGGACGCAATTTTCTTCCTGTGATGGATGTGAACAAGTATCTGCTACTCTGCTATCGACTGTTTCCGTTAGTGTCTGGGCGGTAGTCGGAAACGTTGGAGATGTGTTCTTTCTTTCCATGTGCTTGCAACTCGCTGCTCAGTAAAACGGTTTGTTGGTGAGTAAAATATGAAATTTTTTACCATGACCTCATGTTCTTTTGTATAAGCAAAAAGATGCAGTCTTAGGAAATTTTTTTTAGTGTTTTGGGGGAAATTTTCTTATGAATTGTTGACGATCTGCAGATCAATAAAGAAGTTTTAAATATCACTATACTTGACGACTTGAATTTGAGCGTCGTTTTTTTCCAGTTCAATAATTTCTTTCGAGCAGCATGAAGACTTTTTTGGGAACAATATTCACTTCAATTGCATGTGTTAATATTGGGGACTGTATTATTAACGTTACCATCAACCATGGACTGACAAATATAAACTATAGGCAGCAGATCACACCAGATACCATTTTAGACAATACTGATCTAAATATATATATATATTTTAGATTTATAAATCAGTAGCATCAGTACTTTGGTAGTTATCAATTTTGTTTTCAAATTAAGTAATCACAAATCACCTATTTTTCTTCTATATTTCTCAGTTTCATTTAAATTAAACAAGAAAATATGTCTCAAACTTGGTCATCATCAGGATCACAATCATCTGCTTCAGCTACTAGGTATGAAGTTGTTTGATTTATTATGCTACTGTAACTTTTTATTTTTGGCTTAATTCCATTTTATTGTTAATAAATATAACCCAGCACTGAATATATTTACAATTTTAACTCGCATGTCTTTTTAAACAACAGCTCTCAAGAGGAAGGTAACTCCACTTTAACTAAGTGTAAGTATTCTACTGGGTCATAGAATAAGAAATGAATAGAAGGGCAACTCGCGTCGGAACCTTTGAAGTTTTTGAAGCCGCGCATGTCGCCTCCTGCATACCGGAAATTGCCTGCTCTAATTACTCGCAGCCAGTAAAAGTCAGTCAGTTTGTTAGAGATTTGTATTGCAGAATGGCCATTTGGCTGAATAAATCGACTATTTTTCGTAAACGAACGATTCAAATTACAAATCACGGCCGCTGGTTGTAAATTGAAGGTTAGTGAATACATTTCTGTTGGTTATGAGCTATTAAAGAATTGCTAAATGCAAAATTTTAACGTATTAATACATGTTGTTTACTTACAAAGTATACAGTACAGTATATAATATACTAACATGATAGTTTGGTTGATTTATTAGAAAAATTCGATGTCTTCGAAGTAATAGTAATTGGAATGAATGTTAATGCACTTTCATACTGCCACTTTGTACAGTGTTCAATGTCGAGTGCGATCGTGTCTGTGACGTTCTCTTAAATGTTTTTGAATTAATTATTCATGAAAATGTTTCACATATTTGCACCTCTTGCACTTTAAATAAACTGGAATTCAATCATTATCTGCAATTGGTCTATAGCAAAGAGTTATCCACTTATCATCGGCTTCCCCGGGGGTCGACCCCCGGGACACCAAGGGGCGTTTGTTAAGAGGACGAAACAAAACATTAACAATTTAGCCCCTGCATGGGTACAGGGGAAAGTTTAATGACAAAAATCATGTTACAGCCCCCTACCTCCGGGGCAAAAAACCAAACAATGTCCCTAACATAAACAATATATTACTGTATATAACTGGTGAACTGGATACAAAATACAGCAGAAAAGTAAACCATTTTTAAATATATATAACCGTCCAAAATAACCATCCAAAAATGTCAGGTTCAAGCATGTAAAGCATGCACGCTTGGAAGAACTTTATTTGTGCATGCGCTGAATTATATAATTAGGGTAAGATGAAGTCTATACTATTCTAACTCAACAATTAACAACATATAAACATATAAACATATAGATCGCATTTCCGCTAAAGTCAATCTACGCCTAGGTCTACTTCGTAGGATTAAACATCTGCTACCATTTAATGCACGAATCCTTTTTTATAACAGTCTCGTACTCCCAATCTTTGACTATGCGGATGTTATATGGGGAGACAAAAATAATACAGTGTTAATGAACAATCTTCAGATACTCCAGAACAAAGCCGCCAAGATTGTTTTAGATAGACCATATTTTTCATCGGCAACAGACGCGTTAAACACTTTAGGCTGGACCACTCTTGAACAACGCAGATTGTATCATAGATGTTTATTTGTTTTTAAGTGTCTAAATAATCATACTTCACGTGGATTTGAACTTCTAGCGAACAGAGAAATACACAACTACAATACGCGATATAAGGACAATTTAAGGCCACCTAAAGTGTCAAGGAATTGGGGAAAGCAAAGACTCGCTTATCAGGCCATAACAGACTGGAACAACTTGGACAGAAAGATAAAACTATCTACTAGTATTTCTACATTTAAGAGAAACTTTTAGCAATCTTTGAACTTT